GGCGGTAGTGAACAACTCCAAAGCTGTTTTAGGTGGTGCAGATTTCAACTAATCTTGCCTAGCTGTGGTCTGGAAATTAGATAACTCTTGTCACGGACACTCCACCACTACAAATGTCTGGCAATAACATAGCTCTGTCAGGGGTACACCACCACTAGAAATGCCTGTCATAGTTTTTTTTGTAATACCTAAAGATGTACGGTACACTGCTGTACGATTTTCATGTTGTACACTTTTCAGCTAATCTAGCCTAGTTGGGGGCATGGTATTTTGGGCGTGGAATACCACCCCCACCACCAGACACCCATTACATTGCCTTGATACCATATAGGAGAAAATTGGTACACGTTTTAGCTAGGTTGACCCCCCCCCCCCGGGCTCCTGGTCTATCTCTTTAGCATATCGTATAATACACTAGCCTTGATGGTCTTTTGATTACGTTTAATTACATGAGGTCATATCCTATAACATTAAAGACAAAAAAGTACTTTAATGGCCCCTTTCAAAGTTTTAATTGCTTGAGGCCATATTGTACATTGATGTGTTATTTAACAGTTTTAATGCATGAGACCATATCGTATAATACACTAGACTTGGTGGTCTCTTTAAGGCCCATTCTCACGGTGCGACTTGTAGTTACTACTTGTAGTATCGACCCGAGATGCAGCGTGAGAACACCCTAGTCGTATCAACTTTTACAAGCTCCCAACCAGTTGAAAGCGAGTTGAGCGAAATAGAAACTTCCCTATTTCAGTCGGGGGGTTGGATGGCTGAATGGTTAGCGTGCGCGCTATATCATAAAGTCTGTCATTGAGTCGACTGGCGTGGTTTCGAATCCCCGGTTGTACGTGGCAAGGAGCAGGGTCGCCTGTCCAACCTCGTGGGTTTTCTCCGGGTCCTCCGGTTTCCTCCCACTGCTAAAGACCCCTACGCGCAAGCGAATGATTGAAATAAAATTAAACCATATGTTAGTCCCGAAATGACCTAGTTTGTGTCGAGTGGACGTTAAACCCCATTTCTCTCTCTCTCCCTATTTCAGTCAACAGATCGTATGAAATTGACCAATCAGAGACGTCGAGTATTAGTACAAACACGAGTTCTCTCCCTTTATTGTTGGTAAACATTGACGCGAAACGCACCCATCAACAGCCGCTCAGCAAAGCTGAGACAGAGAATTTTGTCAATTATTACCTCTCACAACCTTGCTTATGGGATGTGAGTAATAAGACTTATTCCAAGAGAGACGTGCGGCAGGCTGCATTGGCCCAACAAAAAATGGAAATTTTCCGCATCCATTCTCAGAAAGTTTTTCAAACTGAGAGGGTCTTCTTCTTCAAGTTCACGTAATAGGGAACTGTACGCGCCGGCAGTGGGTCTACGCAGTATCCCCTGTCTAACCCAGACGGATTTGGGTTTTCTCTTCTTTTTTTTGTTCTTATTTATCAAATGTAGGGCAATAATAGCCAGCGCCTCTTCGTCGCTTGATGACGCCATTATGCTAAGACTAGTCGTATCAACTCATTTATATACGATTTTGTAATCTACATGTATATACTACATGTAGATACTACAAGTAGTTACTACAAGTCGCACCGTGAGAACGGGCCTTTATCAGTTTTAATTGGATGGGGTCATATCCTATAACATAGTACCTTGATGGTCTCGTTGAAAGATTTAATTGCACGAGACCATACCGTATAATACACAAGATAATATTATGGTCTCTTTCAAAGTTTTAATTACGTGTGGCCATATCATCGTATAATATTGTACCCTGATCGCCCCTTTAATAGTTTTAATGCACGAGACAATATCGTGTAAATGCCCAAGACTATTTTGTACCTATGTTGTCTCTTAAAGGGACAATAACACTCTTGCTGGCTTGAAAGCTCCAGAAAATAAATAACATCTCTAAGTGCTAGATGTTTAAGTGTCCTACCTGTTGTGTAAATTATCCATTACATCCTATTTTACTTGTCCAGAGGGTTCGAAAATATTTTTAATTCGAAGTTTCATTTGAAAAGGTTTACGTTAGACGTTTCAAACCATTATGTTGAATTTTTCAAAATTTTTAAATAAGGTGTGTTAAGATAAAATTTGTATCATCAATTAATTGAAATAGTCTACAATAGTACAATTTGTTGACCAGAATAAAGATTGGGACATATTATTCAGTTACAACAAGAGTGGTATTGAGCCTTTAAACAGTTTTAATTGCATGAGACCACGTCGTATAATACACAAGACTTTATGGTCTCTTTATCAGTTGTAATTAGACTGGACCATATCTAATAAAGTAAGAGACTATAGTGTACTTTGATGGTCTCTTTAACATTTTTATACATTCATAATGTGGACGTATTATGCCGTCGCCCCTGTCCGTGTGTGCGCTGTGGGTTGCCTACAGGGCGCAATTCTTACTCGATTTTCTTCAAACTTTGTATACTTATTCCTTATACCCTAAGGATGATCCCTATTGTTTTTGGTGCATGCCCAACCCCCAGGGGTAGAGCCACGCCCATTTCTTGTATTTATTTGTTTTTCGTGTACAGGTCACATTTCTTAATGTATCATCTTGAAACTTTGCATACTTATTCTTTGTACCCTAAGGAACATCCCTATCGTTTGGAGTGCATGCCCAACCCACAGGAGCAGAGCCACGCCCATTTACTTTTTTGTGTGTCTGTGTGTCGCCTACATGCCACAATTCTTAAGTGATCATCTTGAAACGTTGTATACTTATTCCTTACACCCTAACGATGAGCCCTATTATTGTTAGTGCATGCCCCGACCCTCAGGGGAAGAGCCACGCCCATTTTTTATTTGTCATCTACAGGACGCATTGCTTAATGGATCATCTTGCAACTTTGCTTACTTATTCGTTATACCCTAAAGATCACCCCTATTGTTTTAGGTGCATGCCCCCCCCCCCCCGGAGCAGAACCACGCCCTTGTTATCTTTGCGTGTCTGTGCGTCGCCTGCAGGCCGCAATTCTTAAAGGATTGTCTTGAAAACTTTTCATATTTATTCCTCATACCCTAAATATGACCTCTGTTATTTTTGGTGCATGCCCGACTCCCCTGGGGCAGAGCCACGCCCAGTTTTTGAGTGTGTCTTTGTGTCGCCTACAGGCCGCAATTCTTAACAGATCCTTTTGAAACTTTGCATACCTATTCCTTATACCCCGACACCCAGGGACTTAGCCACATCCATTTTTATACGTCTACATTCATAATGTGGACGTATTATACCGTCGCCCCTGTCTCTCTCTATGTGTGTGTGTATGTATGTATGTGGGTCGACTACAGGGCGCAATTCTTAATCGATTTTCTTCAGACTTTCTATACTTATTCCTTATACCCTAAGGATGATCCCTATTGTTTTTGGTGCATGCCCGACCCCCAGGGGCAGAGCCACGCACATTTATGTATGTTTAGGAACATCCCTGTCGTTTGGAGTGCATACCCAACCCCCAGGGGCAGAGCCACGCCCCTTTTCTTTTTGTGTGTCTGTGTGTCGTCTACAGGCCAAAATTCTTAATCGATCGTCATGAAAAAATTTCATCCTTATACCCTAAGGATGATCCCTATTGTTTTTGGTGCATGCTCGATTCCCAGGGGAGAGCCACGCCCATTTCTTGTATTTGTTTGTTTGTCGTCTACACGCCACATTTCTTAACGCGTCATCTCGAAACTTTGCATACTTATTCTTTGTACCCTAAGGAACATCCCTATCGTTTGTGGTGCATGCCCATTTTCTTTCTGTGTGTCCGTGTGTCGCCTACGGGCCACAATTCTTAATCGATTGTCTTGAAAAAATTTCATCCTTATACCCTAAAGATGATCCCTATTGTTTTTGGTACATGCCCGACCCCCAGTGGCAGAGCCACGCCCATTTCTTGTATTCATTTCTTAACTTATCACCTTGAAAGTTCGCATATTTACTCCTTCTATCCTAACGAACATCCCTATTGTTTGTGGTGAGTGCCCAGCCCCCTGGGACAGCTACGCCCATTTTCTTTTTGTGTGTCTGTATGTCACTCACAGCCTGCAATGCTTAATCGATCATCTTGAAAACTTTTTATACTTATTTTTTATACCCTAAGGCTGACCTCTATTATTTTTGGTGCATACCCGACCCCCTGGGACAGAGCCACGGCCAAAATGTGTGTGCCTTTTGTGTCGCCTACAGGCCGCAATTCTTAACAGATCCTTTTGAAACTTTGCATACCTATTCCTTACACCCAACTCCCAGGGCCAGAGCCATACCCATTTTTTCTTTGTGTCTCTGTGAGTTGCCTACAGGCCACGATTCTTAATGGATTGTCTTTGAACTTGGGATATGTATTCCTTATAGCCTAAGGACGACAACTGCATATCCCGACCCCCAGGGGCAGAGCCACGCCCAATTTTTATGTTTGTCGTTTAAAGGCCGGAATTCTGAATGGATCAACTTGGTACTTGGCATATGCATTCCTTATGACCTAAGGGCATCAACTATTGATTTTGGTGAATGCCCCGACCCCCAGGGGCAGAGCCAAGCCCAATTTTTGGCTTTAGCGCCCAAAGGCCACAATTCTGAATGGATTATCTTGGAAATTGGTATACTTATTCCTTATACCCTAAGGACGGAAACTATTGATGTTGTCATTTCAATAACAGGATGGTACCTATTTATATTGTTTCCATATCCAACCCCCACGGGCAGAGCTACGCCCATTTTTGTATTTATCGTCTACAGACTGCAATTCTGAATGGATCATCGTGGAACTTTGCATATTTATTCTTTATACAATGAAGACAGCAACTATTTATTTTGATGCTTGCCCCGACCTCCTGGGGCAGTGTCACATCCACTTTTTTGTTAGTATTTTGTCTGTAAATTTGGCAAAACAAACCCGACGCTTTGCCTCTGATCATATTACAGCCATTTCATATTTCATTCTCTTCATTTTAAAAAGTACCATATCAATCAAAGCTGGAATGTGAGGTATATTGCAGCGTTAGCGATGCTCCTGTTAATGAATGAGTTATCGTATAATGCACAAGACTTGGTGGTATCTTTATCAGTTTTAATGCATGGGACCATATCTTAAAATACACAAGAAAACCCTCGCTATGGGGGAAGGATATCCCCCAAGACTGTCGCCGCTCTGTTCTGTCGCGGGGTGCTCTTTCTTACCGGCGAAGACGGGGCATTGTTTAGCTAGATCTCCCATCCACTAACTATGGAGACGGTGTAGCAAGGCCGGCCCGGAGAAACTCGGCGCTGGTCACAGCTGGCGGAGCTCGGTGGTGCGGGGTTTCATTTCTCGGCTCCCCCTGCAGACCCGAAACATTCCGGTGAACGCTTACACGACTGTACAGACTGTCTCGTCCGATTGTTAAATCAGCGAGCCTCGACTACCAGCTCAGCGGTTTCCGACTACGGCTCGCTTCCCGAAAGGAACAGCATGAACTGAGACTTGCATGGCTTAAGCTTTGATACAAGCACATAATCACTGACAGGATTTATAGATAAGGTCGGATTAAGACCCATAGCGGCCCTAGGCACTTGAAAGATTTCGGTGCCCCCATATATAAACCATTAAAAACCAAAATAAATTTGCATTTGTTAAAATGAGGTTTATACACGTCATTATTAATTGAGATAAAGCAGGTGACAGTAAGAAAAGACAAAAAACAATGAAAAACTAATTAAAAGTTCTTAATTAATTTTTAAATTAAAAATTTTAAATTTGTCATCTAACAAAGCAGAATTCTGTGGTCCCTCCACCCCCCCCCCCCGTCCCATGATGCCCTAAGCATGTGATTAGTTTGCTTAATGATTAATCCAGCCCTGAAAGTGGTATACACTATATTATATGACATACATTTTTTTTATAGAATAATATATTTATAATGTATAAATGGTTTACAGGTCACGTGAATAGATGTAGTGGGGGTATGTTCATAGCCATAAATTATTAATAGTTAGCGTTAGAGAAAATTAGTAGCAAATCTTATAAATAAATATATGTATGAGAAATGCCAAATCTAGCACTATTAGTTACACTAGGGGGGTCATCTTCATCGTTGAAACAAAGGCTTTCTGGGCTGTTTTCCATAATTCTAAGGGCAAATTTAAATTTGAACTTCATATCTGCAGCAAAGTATGCGCACTTTTGGTGACATATCTTTACAGCCTGTTTTATAACAGAAGCATTGAAAACATTATTGGTGTTTAACGCTATCTGAAAGGTCAATGGTGAGGAAATAGGCATTTCTATTAATGTAAAGCCGGAAGAACTAAGAACACAGCCAACTAAACTTGTTTCATCGAACGAATCGAGAGCTGTAAAGAGGCCAGAGTAAGATGTTAGTCGGGGTCTTGTTCCGCCATACACATAACGTATCAACGTGGGGAATTTCTGTGTGGTTATGATATCAGAGCTTTGCATAGATAATTTGATTTTTCCATTAGGATTGGGCAAAACTTCCATAAATTCCCCAGGGTGACCCATTGGAATTAAAACATCAATGTCTCGTTCATCACGACATTTCAGATAATGTAGTTCTTGCCTAGATGGTCTCGCTTCTTCAATCGCACTTGCATCTGCTCGTGTGGTGGATCCTTTGAATATTCGGTCGATGATAAACACGTTCCCAGCTGAATAATGTAGACGTGGGTATTGGTTGTTGCCCTGATCTTTACCAATTTGGAATGCAGAGATTCGAGAGAGATTGATGAATGCGGGAACCTCGTTGGATACTAACGACTCGATACTTCTGTGAACATCTTTGTCTCTAGCTGTTCTACTTTTTAACCTTAAAAAGTTTCCTGAAATGGAAATGACCATGAAACAAAACACCAATGAAGTAAACAATCTATTTACAGAATACAAATAACCGAATTCCTTTTTAACATCTTGCAATGTCAATCCGACTGTATCTAAAACTTAGACTGTGAGATTCCTATGAACAAGCGTTCCCCAAACCAGGGGTCCGTGAAAATATTTTGGGGTTCAGCGAAGTCAAAGGGACCCATATGTTGTCCGTGAAAAAAGATAGCCTGGTAAAATAGAGTATATTATTTTTTTTGAAAAGGTGAAGGCCAGAAGCCGCGACAAATGGTTCGCTATATGGTTCAGCTCGAAGGCAAGAAATAATCAGTGTGAAGCCAAGAACGCGAGTCACTTGATAGCTTCGCCTTGTTCATATCTTGCCTTCTTGCCCTCGCGTTACTATGAGTCTATAACCAGGGTCGTAACTAGCTCAGAACAACGGGGCTGGGTGGGGGCGGGGGCTTTAAGTGTTCTCAGGGGTTCGGAATTGACGGACAATGTATATCTATTGTTTTAACCCCCCCCCCCCCTTAGTTACGGGCCTGTCTATAACCGGAATGAGAAGGCAAGAGGCCAAGAAGTGATTTCACTTCGCCTTCTGGTTTGTAGGCTATCTGGCATTCCCACTCCTATTGTTTAAGTTATTACTTTCGGTTACTACGCTCCTTCTTGCCTGCGATCTGTCAAGGCTTCGCTTCGCGTCTCTAGAATTAATATCGGGATTAATAAACTATGCTTAAAAAATATTGATTGTTAATTTGAGTAAGTAACTTGCAGTTTATAAATTATGCGTTAGGAACACCCTGCACTTACTAATAGAGCAAATAATTGAGACTATCTAGTCTTTACGTGGCATACGAATTGATTAAAGTTTTTGTTGCATCATTTGTGATAAATTTTTAATCTGACTAATTTTTCTTATATACTGAGCGCCATGGAAAACGCATCACTTAGTTTTTCGTATAACAGAATGATCCTGTAAACATATCTTATTTATTTTGCTTCTTATTGTGAACAATATTCAAATGGGAACACATCAATAACAACACATTTGTACAGTTATGGATGTTTAATCTGTAATCAACGGTACAAAGTCAGAGGGGTAAAAACCAGAAGTACGACACAGATGTCAGTAGCGCGTGTGTCCTCCACGGGCTCTTACGCACGCTGTGCAGCGACGTCGCATGGGATTTACTAATGTTTGAAAGAAGGCCTGGGGCAAATTGTTCCATTCTTGGACAAGGGCAGCTTCTAAAGCAGCAATGGTGTGCATCTGTGGTCACGATACAGACGGCAACCAATCTCATCCCAGACATGTTCTATCGGTGCCATGCCCGGAGACATGGCTGGCCAGTCCAAGACATTGATGTTGTTAGCATCCAGGTAGTTCATACTAAAACGGGCGGTATGCGGACGTGCATTATCCTGTTGGAAGTGCTGAAGTTGTGGGTGCGCTCCAAACATCGGAACAACAATTGGTTGCAAGACATCATCACGGTAGGCTACAGCATTAACGCGACCCCTGCAAATGTGTAGGGCGGTCCGGTGATGAAATGTGAAGCCTCCCCACACCATTACACTTCCTCCACCCCATCGATTCGTTTCGAAGACGCAGCAGTCTGCAAGACGTTCCCCAAGACGTCTCCACACACGTTGACGGCCATCAGCGTGATAAAGATGAAAGCGACTCTCATCACTGAAGAGCACACTTTGCCAGTCTACTCTTCTCCATGTCTGATGTCCTTGAGCCCATATCAAACGCCGCTGACGGTGATGATCCCGAGGATAGCTCCAACATAAAGTCGTCGTGCACGGAGTCCTACTTCTCTTAGACAACGTCTTACGGTGTTGGCACTTACTGGTCCTTGTCTTCCGACGACTGCTGCACCTGTTCGAGTCGCTGGGCGGAATCTGTCACGCAGATGAGTGACCCGGATGTAGCTGTCTTGAGCCTTGGTTGTAACGCGTTGTGGACCAGGACGTTGACGGTCACGTGTTGATCCAGTAACTCGAACACGTTCCACCAACCTTACAATAGTGGACTGATGACAATTGAAGTGTCTGGCAATAGCACGTGTAGACACGCCAGCCCTGGACATTCCCATGGCTTCATTCCGTTGATTTTCAGTAGGTCTCGGCATCTCTAGCGCGATTCCTTCACACGTCCAACAACAAATTACGACAGATTGACGTTTCACAGTTCATGTACTGCACATTAAGTTGAAAACATGCTTTTAAAGGGCTCACACACAATGCTGCACATGAATATTGGGTTTTTCATGTGCATCTCGTGCATTTTTTTTTGTGCACACGGACCGATATTTTTTGCGTTTGGGAGCATTGTGTGAAACAATAGTTCATAGTATTGCATAATATTATACATACAAAACCACCTAGTAATAAAATATTTGGGAAAAAAAGTGATGCGTTTTCTATGGCGCTCAGTATATAATAGGGAGGCACGGTGGCTCAGTGAGTAAGACGTTGGCTCGCTAACCTGGAGATCTCGTGTTCGATCCGTGCGTTGGTCGAGAAAGTTCATCAGGATTTTCTGGCGTTGTTCAATGGTGTAGGACAGAGCGCCTGGCAAGGGACAACATATAGTCGTTCGGATGGGAAGAAAAACCGAGGTCCCTGTACATAGACCGGGAGCCCAGGGGGTCAACCTAGCTGAAAAGTGTACCAATTTTCTACTATATGGTATCAATGTATGTATATCTGGTATCATCAGAATGTAAGTCTGCCGGGTTTCTGGTGGTGGGTGTGGTATTCCAAACCCCTAAATGCCATGATCCCCAACTAGGCTAGATTACCTCAAAAGTGTACCACACGAAAATCTTACTGCAGTGTACCGTACATCTTCAGGTGTTATTTTGGGCGTGTCTGTTAGGGGCAACCCACCGCACGAACTGTCTGCTAGTGGTCATTCATAATTCCTGTGGTGGTACTGAACAACTCCAAAGCTGTTTTAGTTGGTACAGATTTGAGCTAATCTAGCCTAGCTTTGGTCTGGAAATTAGATAACTCTTGTCAGGGATACTCCATCACTACAAATATCTGGCAATTAAATAGCTCTGTCAGGGGTACCCCACCACTAGAAATGTCTGTCAGAGTGTTTTTGTAATACCTGAAGATGTACGGTACATTGCTGTGCGATTTTCATGTGGTACACTTTTCAGCTAATCTAGCCTAGTTGGGGATCATGGCATTTTGGGCGTGGAATACCACACCAACCACCAGAAACCCGGAAGACTTACATTCTGATGATACCAGATATACATACATTGATACCATATAGGAGAAAATTGGTACACTTTTCAGCTAGGTTAACCCCCTGGGCTCCTGCCCTAACACGTAAAAGAAACAAGAGTTGGTCGTAGCGCAGCTGTCCGGTCAAAATGGTCCCTCATAGCACATTGAATGGAGCGGACCCATCTTCATTAGCCCAGTCGGCGGAGAACATTAGGACGCTAAACCCCATTTCATTTCATTCTTATATAATAGTAACATACTTTAACAGACTAACCAGAATTGGACCTGAAACCGATGCCTGTGGTACACCTTAGTGGTCTAGCATTTTTTGTTGATATATGTAAATTAATTGTAATTTGATCTTTCTGAAGGGAGGGGTGGTATATAGACCTAGTCCACAAAAACGACATAGACCACAACAACAAACATCACGGACAGCGAACAAAATTATCTCCGAAAATTTGAGTACAAAATACGACAGTTTTATGGTCTTCCATAAATCCAAGATGATCAAGGAGTCCATTAAACACCAGAATTCCGAATTCATCAGTGTTTTCCAACCAGACCATCTCTCATTCAGACCAATAATTGTCTACTAATAAACCCCGTTTACATTACAAATTTTAAGCGTACCTGGCACGGCACGGTTAATTTTTTTGTAGTGTAAACGGGTCAAACATAAGCGTGCCGTACTGAGTACCGTGCCAATCTGGCCCACTGAAATGATGTGGTCTCGGCACGGTACCAGGCGCGGCGCGGTTAAATTTTCTTCGTGTAAACGCCATCCGGTCTGAGCACCGTTTCAGTATGGATAACTGTGCATGCGCGAAACGAACCTTGATCTTTTTTCCCCGCAAACCTTGACAGTTCTGTCAAAATGGCTGCTCAAACTAAATCGACCATCACAATTGTTTTCATTTGGGTAATTTGTATAGGGACTGAAATTAACTTTTCAGTGAAGAGTTCCACATTTGGCATGCATGACACGGTTCTGAGACCGGATATTTTAGAGTAATCTAAACGGGTCAATTTCTTGAAATTTATCGCGGCCTGGTACCGTGCCCAGAACGGCACGCTTATCGCTTACGTTTGACCCGTTTCCACTACAAAAAAGCGAAGCGTGCCGTACCTGGTACCGTGCTTGGCACGCTTAAAATTTGTAATGTAAACGGGGTTGTGGTCTCGGAACAGTACCAGGACCGGCTCGCTTTAAACGGGGCTATGGATGTTTGAAACATGTATGGCAACATTTCCCATTACCTATGCCCTCAGGCCGTAAAATATTGGCTCCTCAAAGCCATACAAATCATAATGACTAACGCTTTTACATCTGGTAAACAAATTACAAACAAATTCCTGGTATAGCGATGAGTACCAAGGCAGCACCGCAATTAAGTAATTTCACAATGGGATTTCTAGAGGACAATTAAATTACAGTAGAAATTAAATATGGCGTGGATTACAGATTATATTTAGAAAATAAATTGAAACGATTACTAGACGATTTATTCTCTATTTGGAATGAACGAATTGGCAACGTTGCAGATTTGCAACAAATAATGAATGATTTAGATCTAAATATCAAATTCACAATTGAAACGATCTGCAAATCACATTCTTGGACGTTCAAGTGAAACGAAGGGGAGAACTCCTTAACATGTATTCGAAAGAAACATATACCAAAAACTATCTCTCTTATAAATCATGTCATCTACGCCGTGACAAAAATAATATACCCTTATTT